CATCAGCTCCATGCTGCCTCAGTGCCTTTGTACTTGCTCTTTCCTCTGCTTGGAGTATCCGTTATCCTGATACCTTTCTGGCAGGCATCCTCACTTCCTCATTTTTTTGCTAAACTATTTTTCTCTAAGTGAGATCTTCTCTGACCACTTCTGTTCGTCACCAAAAACCTTCATGGAGGAGAATCCTTTCTCTCCTGAACTTACAAAACCTACTCTCTGTAACCCACAAGCTCCTACCTGAACACCATCTGCCTTGCTTTATTCTCTGATGGTTCCACATCCATCCTTGTGTCTTCCAGCTGAAACACCAAGGCTCCTGAGGAAGGACTGTGAGGTCTCCTGCGGCTCGGCCCTCCCCACTCTGCCATGGGCACTGTCTCCCACAGCCTAAGTGCTCAAAAGAACCATTTCAAAGAACCATTGTAGGCTAGTAGTGTGGCGTAGGGAAGATGCCTAGAGATGGTAATGCAGTTCCCACATTCCAGCAATTTCCCAGGCAGTCTGGATGGCATGGCATTGCCCAAGTGTGGTTCATGCACCACTGTTGGTCTGCAAGATGATTCTAGATGCACACAGTTAATCTTTCTGGGTATGTATTTATTTTATTGTGTTTCTGGGAATATAACAAGCCCATCAAATCCAATGTGAACTGTGGTTATCATTGCTTAAAAACACTTTAAAAAAATAAATGTATATAAATTTACCCCCATCTGTTCGTCAGTCTGTCATTCTGTGTTATTGTTGTCAAGTGTCATTGAGTCTGTTCTGACTCATAGCAGCCCTGTAGAGGGTTTCCGAGGAGAGGCTGGTGAGTTTGAACCTCAGGCCTTCTGATTAGCAGTCCACTGCTTATCCTACAAAGCCACACTATGAGTCCTTGTCATACTGTGTTGTTGTTAAGTGCCATGGAGTAGGTTTCAACTCATAATGATCCTGTATTGACTTGAACCAATGACCTTGTGAATAGCAGCTCATTGCTTATCTTACAGTGCCACATTAAGAGTTTTTGCCATACCATAGTAGCTTGCATATTGCATATTGCTACAATGCTGGAAGCTTGGCTATTGTTGTTAGGTGCCATTGAGTTGGTACTGACTCATAGCAACCCAATACACAATAGAATGAAACACTGTCTGTTTCTGTACCAACTTTACAATCATTGCTATGTTTGAACCCTCGTGCTGCCAGTATGCCAATCCATCTGGTTGGGAGATCTTCTTTTTTTCCTCCAATTCTCTACTTTACCAACCATGATATCCTTCTCTAGGGACTGGTTCCTCCTGTTAATATGTCCAAAATATGAGACACAAAGTCTGGCCATCCTGGTTTCCAAGTGGCATTCTGGCTGTACTTCTTCCATCACAGATTGGCTTGTTCTTATGGCAGCCCATGGTATGTTTAATATTCTCCTCCTATACCATAACTCAAGGAGCTCTGGTAGCGTAGTGGTTACGAATTGGGCTGCGAACCTTAAGGTCAGCGGTTCGAAACTACCAGCCGCTCCACGGGAGAAAGATGAGGCTTTCTACTCCCGTAAAGATTTACACCCTTGGAAACCCTGTACAGGGTCGCTATGGGTCGGAACCGACTCGACGGCACTTAACAACAACAACATACCATAACTCAAGGAGCTCTGATAGCATAGTGGTTACGAATCGGGCTGCAAACCTTAAGGTCAGCAGTTCGAAACAGCTGTTCCATGAAAGAATGATGAGGCTTTCTGCTCCCATAAAGATTTACAGCCTCAGAAACCCTCCCTGTACAGGGTCGCTATGAGTCAGAACCGACTCCACAGCACATAACAACAACAATACCATAACTTAAAGGAATCAATTCTACGGTCTTCGTTATTCACTGTCTAATTTTCACATGCATATGAGGTTATTGAAAATATCATGGCTTGGGTCAGGCACACCTTAGTCCTCAAACTGATATCTTCGCTCTTGAGCATTTTAAAGAGGTATTGTGCAGCAGATTTGTCTAATGCAATATGTTGTTAGATTTCTTGAATTCTGCTTCCATGAGTGTTGATGGTGGGTCCAAGCAAAATGAAGTCTTTGACAACTTCAATCTTTTTTCCATTTATATGTTTGTTGTTTATTGTTCCAGTGATGAGGATTTTTGTTTTCTTTCCATTGAGGTGCAACCCATGCCGAAGGTTGTGGTCTTTGCTCTTTATCAATAAGTATTTTAAGTCCTCTTCACTTTCAGCAATATGCATCATCTGCATATCGCAGGTTGTTAATGAGTCTACCTCCAATCCTGATGCAATGTTTTTTCTTCATATAATCCAGTTTCTTGGATTATTTTCTCAGTGTACAGGATGAATAAGTAAGGTGAAAAAAATACAACCTTTCCTAATTTTAAACCAGTGTTCCCTTGTTTTGTTCAAACAGCTGCCTCTTGGTCTATGTGCAGGTTCCTCATGAGCACAATTAAGTGGTCCAGCATTCTCATTTTCTGCTGTGTTGTCCATAGCTTGTCATGATCCACATAATCGAAAGCATTTGTATAGTCAATAAAGCACAGATAGACATTTTTCTGGTATTCTCTGCTTTCAGCCAAGGTCCATCTGACATCTGCAATATAAGCCCTCATTCCATGTCCTCTTCTTAATCTGGCTTGAACCTCTGGAGGTTCTCCATCAATGTATGGTTGTAGCGGTTTTTTAATGATCTTTAGCAAAAGTTTACTTGCATGTGGTATTAATGATATTGTCCAAAGATTTCTGCATTCTGTTGCATCACCTCTCTTCGAAATGGGCACAAATATGTATCTCTTCTAGGCAGTTGGCCAGATAGCTGTATTCCAAATTCGTTGGCACAGATGAGTGAGTGCCTGCAGGGCTACATCAGTTTGTTGCAATATTTCTATTTGTATTCCATCAATTCCTGGTGTCTTGTTCTTTGCCAATGCCTTCAATGCACCTTGGACTTCTGTCTTCAGTATCATTGGCTCTTGATCATATGCTGCCTCTTGAAATGGTTGAACATCGATCACTTCTTTTTGCTACAGTGACTGTATCTTCTTCTGATGCATTCTGCATCATTCAATATTTTGTCCATAGAATCCTTCAACACTGCAAGATGAGGCTTGGATTTTTTCTTCAGTTCCCTCAGCGTGAGAAATGCTGAGTGTGTTCTTCCCTTTTGGTTTTCTAACTCCAGGTCTGTGAACATTTCGTTATCATATTTGACTTCGTCTTCTCAACCTGCCTTTTGAAATTTTCTATTCAGCTCTTTTACCTCCTTATTTCTTCCATTTGCTTTAGCATCTCTACACTGGAGAGCAGGTTTCAGAGTCTCTCCTGATATCTGTTTTGGTCTTTTCTTTCTTTCTTGTCTTCTTAATGACCTTTTGCTTTCTTCCTGTGTATGTTCTTGATGTCATCCATAACTCGTCTGGTCTTTGGTCTTTAGTGTCTAATGTTTCAATTCTGTTCTTCAGATGATCTCTAAATTCAGGTGGGATATGTTCAAGATCATATTTTGGTTCCTATCTCACTAATGCCTTGGATATTGATGTTTATGCGTTTCATTTTATTTTTGACAATTTCCCATTTTCCTAGATTAATGAATTTCAGACTGAAAAACTTCAAATACTTGCAGGATCACTGGGGTGGACAAGTTTCAGAAAAATCTTCTGAAAATTAGTCACTGAAAACCTTATGGGTCACAACCAAACATTGTCCAGCCCACTTGGTTTGAACATATCATCAGATGGAATTTGTCACTGAAGGAGAACATATCTTTGGTGAAGCAGAGAGCCAGCAAGGGAGAGGGAGACCTTGGGAAAGACAGACTGGCACAAGAGCTGCAATGATGAATTTGAACCTGCCTGCAATCATTCTTCCTAAATACCGTTTGCCCTGACTTGAAGTTGACATGATGGTGTCTACTTTATCTATTTAAATTTAAAAATCATCCAAGTCAGCTTAAAGAAAAGAATACAGACATAGCAGTGTAGGTGATGTGCAGATGTGGCAGGCTGTAAAGGTGGTCCCAAAATAACTGAGTTTTGAGGCATTGGTATTGGGCAAAGGCATGGACTTGGTTGTAATCCCTGCTCTGTCGTTGCTAAGTGCCTTCAAATCTATTCCAACTCATAGAGACCCTGTACAGTGTCCCCAAGGTTGTCAATCTTTGTGGAAGCTGAAACCTCATCTTTCTTTGTTACTCTTGACTATGTTGTTGTTGTTATGTGCCGTGGAGTCAGTTCTGACTCATAGTGACCCTGCACAGGGTTTCTGGGGGTGTAAATCTTTACGGGAGCAGAAAGCCTCATCTTTTTCCTGCGGAACAGCTGGTAGTTTCGAACTGCTGACCCTGAGGTTAGCAGCCCGATTCGTAACCACTACGCTACCAGAGCTCCTTACGCGTAGGCTTCTGCAAAATCTTAACCTTTCTGAACTTCAGTGTCCTGTTTTAAAAAATGGGGCCAATAGTAGCCACCTTGTTTGGAACTAGATTAAAGATGTGCTAATGTTTGGTGTTCAATAAATGATGTTCTTTGATGGGAAAGCAGACAGCTAGGAGGCTGGAGGAGAAAGTGGGAGATGACTTGTCCTTTAGCTTCAGCACTGAGTAAGCACAGTCCTGGGCAGCCAGGGCCAGGGCCCAGTTGGGGTTTAGTGGCCCCTTTCTCTGTGAGTTTATTCCTTCAGAAACCAAGAGTCAGTTATTCTTCCCATTTTATGTGGTGGAGGTGGAGTCTTGGATTGGAGCAGTGACTTTGGCCACAGCACGGGAAGGGGCAGAGCCAGGTTCTAAGCTCTGAGTCCCGGTCCTGAACGCTAGGCTCCAGTGTGGCTTAAGGAGTGCTCCGCCCCTTCCCTCCCGCTTTCCCTCCTTCCCGCCTGCAGGCTCCCTGGGAAGGGGAGGAGTTCTTCCCAGAGCTGATGCCACCGTCGCCACGGCAACACGGCCATACTGGCCCCAACGGACTGCAGGGCCTGGGGCTGCAGGGCTGGGCGTGCTGGCCTCGTGGGCAGAACCGGCAGCATGGATAGCCTCTTCGTGGAGGAGGTGGCCGCCTCCCTGGTGAGGGAGTTTCTCAGCAGAAAGGTATAGTTTCACCCCCGGGCCCCCTCCAGAGCTCTAGGGCTGCATCCCTAATGTTGGGGAGCAATCTGGGGATTCCCCTTGAACCTTTCTACCTTCGGGGATGGAGACCTACTCCTGCCTGCTTCCTGGTCCAGAGATGCCTCCACAACAACGCCTCTTTACTAGGACAGGGGAAAACTACATTTCCCAGGAGCCATTTCTGTTATTGGTCACTTCCTGCCAGGAGGGCCCTGGCTGCCCTGTCCGCTACCCTCCTAGGGTCATCTTCCCTCCGGGCAGGTGGGCCGAGGTCCAGGATGGGATGCAAAGACACCCTCACCCCGTCTCTAATGCATAGCTGAGTTTTCCCACCTTAGTGTAGCGTGCAGGCCTCAGCCAAGCCTGGTGGCCTTAACTGGCCAATGCCAAGAAACATAGACAAGTAAGAACTTTCCCCCAGAGGGACCCAAAAGACTGAAGAAAGTTCTTTATGATCAAAACCTTCAGTTATTTTAGTCAACAGTGGGAATCCCTGCTGTTGCATTAATTTTATTTGTTAAAGTTCTCCTTTTTTTTGTTTGTTTCCGAAGAGTTTCTGATGTGTTCAGAAGTTGGGGAGGTGGATGTGGCGATCTGGTGGTAAAGGAGCTTCCTGGAAGCCCTGTCTCATGCCAGTGGGGAGAGGTGGGGAGAGCATACCTTGAACAATGCACGATGGAGTACTTGCTAAGTACCAGGCACGGTACTGTTTCTCAGGGTAATATGTTGGGTTAAGCAATAGTCACTTGTCTGGGATTAAAACACACACACACACACACACACACACACACACACACACACACGAAACAAATCTTTGGGTGGAGGAAATGGGGAGGGATCTAGAGCCAGATACAAATATCTGCTTCTAGTTAGCTGCGTGTGAGCTTGGGTGTGCAATTCACGGATGTGCGCCTTCCTTGTTTGCAAACAGGAGTACTAAGCCCTTTGCAGATTTATAATAGTGGTGGTGGTTATGTGCCGTGGAGTCGGTTCCGACTCATAATGACCCTGTATAAGGTTTCCGAGGCTGTAGCCTCATCTTTCTCCTGCGGAGAGTGGCTGGTAGTTTCGCACTGCGGACTTTGAGGTTAGCAGTCCAATTTGTAACCACTATGCTACCAGAGCTCCTTGATTTATAAGGAGGATTAGTAATATTATCTGGACAGCTCCCAAGCCTAGCATCTAGCACATAGTAGGTGTTCAGTGTTTTTGCCTACCGTATAGGGAGTCCTGGAGTCCTGGTGTGGCGCTGTGGGTTAAAGCGCCAGACTGCAAAGCCTTTTGAACTGCAAGGTCGGTGGTGCAAACTCACCAGCTGCTCCTCGGAAACCCTATACAGGGTCGCTATGGGTCAGAACTGACTGGACAGCACTTCACAACAACAATAGGGAGTTCTGCTGTGGCACTGTGGGTTAATGCGTCAGATT